GAAATTCTTCTTACTTTCAATGGTTTATCTAGCAAGATGTAAACAAACAGACAAACAAACAAACAACCCCAGTATAATGGCAGTTATTTAATATATATCTTGCATGAGATCCACACTTGTTTTGTCTAAAACTTTGAACTTCCCATCTGGACACTTTCAGCTCCAAAATTGTTCACATTAACAAAAATCATTGGACCAATACTCAAAAAACAATGGCTCCAAAGGTGTGGAGGTGGTTGATTTTTTATTTTTTTTCCATTGTTTGCATACATTTGCTAGTTAAAACATATGCTATTACAAACTTAAAGCATTGCATTTTTCTTTGTAGATAAGGTTTGCTAAAGGTACACTGATTGTAAATAACAATTTCATAAGATAGATTAATTAATTTGCTTGTTCTTTCTTCTCATCCTTTCTTCTATCCTTCCTTCAGGAGCTCCATAGCAGAGCAAGCTTTAAGTAAATTATCTGCAATATACTTTGACTCAAACAAGATCAAAATGGCACAAAGGAATTGGTTCTCTTTTCACAGAAAGCCATGTTTCAACCTACAGGTTCACCTGTATGAAAAGTAAAAGTCAGCTGTAAGATTTATTTTCATGCAAAAAATATTTCAGTTATTGATGTTGAAAGTTAAAATATAAAGTTAAAATATAAAGAAAAGCATTTTAAAGCTTTTCTTTATTCGACATTCAGATTCTGGAGACCTCCTTGTTAATTCCTATGTATAGAAAGTAGTTCAATTAAAAAATTTAAACGTTTTTGTCCTATGAATAATGTAAACAATCTTTTGTATGGTGGTTGACTTTGATAGCTGTGGTTCAGAAAAAAAATTCTTTCTGGGAAGTACTGTATTTTCTTCAGGAATAATACCAGGGTGCAAACCCAAACTTAAAAGCAAAACATTGATTTTTCTGACCTATATGCAGCAGCTCAGCTTTCAAATTTAAAGGAGATGTTCTGCAAAAATATTTGCTCCAAAGAGATTAAGTAAATGCAAGAACCAGAAATTTTAATGCTGTAACAGGGGTCAAAAAATGCATTTGACAGACAAAAAATGTGTTTTGGAAGAAAATAATTAAATCTGTGACAAAAAAAGTGGATGTAATTATACTAGAATATAAAATCTGTAAGTTGAAATAAGAAATCACGGTAATGGTGATCAAGATTTTCATCATGATGATTACTGTTCAGGCACTGATTTCATTAATTATTAAATATTCTCCTTTAAAAATGAAAACATTTTCACCATCAAACTCACCAGCTCTTGTAATAGATATGTAGATCTAGAATAAATATCCAAAAGTATGGGAAAAAATTGATGGAATTTTACAATGGAAATAACAAGTGATTCAGTAAAATCTTATTTATTGGCTAGGAAGACTATATTTAAAATCTTGGCATTATAGGTAAGATTGATGCAATTTAATTACACAGTTCTTAGTCACAGGTGATGATTGGGTAGTACCTTATTCGAAGTTGTTGTTTGCATGTATGTTGTACTAAGTTTTAAATTGATCTGTATGCTGAAAATCTGATATAATTTTTTATACTCTCAGATGCAGAAGCTGAAAGTGTGACATACATTTAAATGGAATTTGGTTAAAATGAAGTATTAGTCATAAACTTGTTGATTTGTTGACTGGAGTCTCACCAGTGTCATAAAAGAAATAGCCAGGGAGAAAATAAAGTTGAAATCTGACTGATCTTGAGCATCTATATAATTTCAGAACAGGAAAGAGTATGTCAAAGTAGGCTAGCTTATGTACACCTGCATGCTTTACTCCATCTTTCCTATATTTTGGGTTACCCTTAATAAATACTGAGCTCCTGGTACCTTATTATATTCATGGCACAATCTTTACAGACCAGAATTTTATTTCTAACAGAACTAATGTTTATTAGGAGGTGTTGATTGACAGTGCAAACTACAGCCAAAAAGGCTGTTCTTATTGCTACACCTCAGTTCATACTGACAAAACAAAAAGAAATGCAAATTGCAAATTGTTATTAGCATGAACATTCATATGGGTTAGACGACAAGCTGGAGCTTGGATTGGGCTGTCATTTCTGACTTCTGCTTCAGTTGTTGCCTGATGCATTAGTAGCATGCATAATAACATAATAATGTGCTTTTAAATGTACAGCATTTAGATGAAGTCCATCTATCTAGATAAAGTCAGTTTGAGTGGAGTATTGTGTCTCATGTTCTTTCTTGGAAGGAGCAAACTAAAATGAACAGGATACCACTATTTTGGCTGCTGATTTCAAATGGTATGAATTGATACCTCTGCAAAAACATGAAGCTTCAAAGAAACAGGACTTGTGTTCTAGTCATACACAAGGAACAAAAAGAGCTACGAGTACTTGGCTGTTATATTGGCAGCTGATAGGAACATCAGATGCCCACAAGTAAGTGTGATAATAAAGGATACAATCTTGGATTTGCCTTTGACAGAACGTGATTTCTCATGAGCTCTTTCATGATGAATGATATTAAAACCTGGTCAGTAAATCTATGATCATCTGCTCTTCCAATTCCAATTCCAATTCCAATGAAATGTTCCCTAGGGGCAGTGGGAGCCAGCTGAAGTCCTAGTGGTCCAGGAGCATGCTGATCAGTGTATGAAATATTTCTACCATGAGCATAAAGCTTTAGGAATGTATTCAGACCATTCTTTTTCAGCCCAGGATTTTCACTTACCGGTGCAGATGGGACAAGGGGTGGGAGAAAGGTGTCACTCAAGGCTGGTGATCAGATTCAGTGTTAAAGGTGATTTCTAGTACTACATAAGTGCCAACAACAGGCAGATGACCCCGTGTTTATCCCATTCTCATCAGTCTCTCACTAAATTGTGCCACTAAATTGGAGAAGGAGCAAATCCTCTCAGGTTCCCTGGGCAAGGCTCATGTGTGCCCCATCCCTGCCTGCTGTGATGGAGCTGGGTCTCCAAAGAAAGCTGCACCACTTTCTAGGAAGTCCTTTGAACCTGATGCTAGGGTGCTCAAACCCCAGCAAATGCTGAAGCACACACCTGTTCAGCTTGCAGCAGCTGAGTTGCTGCAGGTGACGTTCTCTTTCCTTCTGTCAGCATGACCTCTTCTTTCTCTTCTCTTCTGTATGAATTGATGCTGGCACTAGACCTCTACAAAAGCAGAGAGGGTTTGGGTTTGTTTTGTTATTTTAATGGGAGTCTCTCTTGGGTTTTTTGTGTACAATGTTTGTTTTTCCTGTCCAATATGGCATGCACAGTTTAATGCCTCTGGAAGCTGAGGGACAAACAAACCTGACAGCTGAGAGAGGGTGCAGTTATCAAAGTGCTTAGATTGTGTTTCCAAATTCAAGGCAGCATTCTTGCTGAATAGTGGGATTTGGAGACTGAAGATCTAGCTATCTCATCATTTATAAAGGTGCTTTCTCCTTGGAAATTTAATTTCTGTATGGTGGCAAAACCTACCCCTGGCACCAGTGCTGGGAGAAGCAGTAGTGCTGGACATTGTCCTACTCTGCCGCTGCAGCATCTATTATCAGATCATAAACAGGTTTTCTCCCACTCAGAAAGGTGATTTGTCAGAGTTCCTATTTCAATTGCCGCTTTTCTGAGCCTAAAGCTATGCACACCACAGACAGAGTAAGCATCTGTCTAACCTAGACAGAGCAAAGAAGACAGAATTTAGTGCAAGATTCAGTTAATTTGTGGTGAATCTCACTTTCAGAGTCAGGCATGTTCAGCTACTTGTAGGACTGGTTTATACAGAACTTCTGCTTCCTTAAAGCTTTTTGCTTTTGATGCATATTACTTTCTTTCTAGACTTGATCTTGAAGTCTGTATCTCATGCTAGTGGAGTTATTTTGTCTGATATATCCCTTTGTTGGAAAAGTACTACTCTGTGTTCACGTTGCTATACTGAGACATTGTGTACTCTTGAATGTAAATGAAAATTATTGCTTTTTCTAAATGAAGGCTTAAGATTTTGGCTTGTGTAATGCATTCTTTTATAGAGCATACTCTTAAGGTCATCTGTTTTCTTTATTTTATTAGTTTCTGATAATTGTAATATCTCACACAGTGGACAACAGCGGGAGAAACTGGAGCTGTACTTACTTTTTGCATTTTGTTTGTACCTAGTAGCATAATCACAATCAGTTTAATCAATGCAATGAGCTCCATGTGGTTGTCCAGGAATATGGAATAGATCATTGAAGGACGTTGCAACGTAATTTGTATAACTTTTATTTGTTGTACCACTGGCACACAGGGAGGAGGGGGAGAAGGCTGGCAAACCAAGTGTCTTAATTGAGATAAGAGATTAACGACTAGAAGTGTGTCTGCATAATTAAGGTTCTCTAAAAGCATGGAGCCTTGTGGTAGTAATTATTTTGCAGAGCTATGTCACTCTGATAATTTTTTTTCTTATTATTTGCATTTGTGTTTACATTTTTCCTACATTCTCATACTGAGCTGTAAAATATATATAATATAAAAGATAACATTTTCTCTGCCTAAATCTCCTAATTTATTCATGCTGTGGTTGCCTGAAGTGAATTGAGACATGATTCTTTGCTAAATTAATTTCACTTGTATGCAGAAGATAGTGAATATGTTTTACAGAAAATAGATCTCTCTTTATTTTCTTTCCTGTTTGTTTTTTTTTCTCTAAGTAGATATAATTTCTGTTCTTTGAGTTTTGCCATTAAAATTTTTAGATTGATATTTTATGACAAAAGTCATACTGAAAATCCCTGATTTGTTTTATCACAGAGAAAAGCCATTTTTTCTATGTAGATATTTGATCTTGAATGTTCAAAAATGTACCTCCCTTTTCTTTCCCACCCTCCTCCTCCTAAAGCTTGAAAATTAAGTTCTAAGAACATTGATAAATAGCATTTATATATTTATTTTTCCATTTATATTTCCATTGATAGAGGAGATTACAGTTCTATCACTCTCAGGCCTGTGCTCAGCCCCAGTTAAATTTTGTTGTTTTGTTTGTTGCAGGTGGGGAACCCAAGGGGATTTCACCACTACTCACCCTCGGCCTGTTGTCAAAGTAAAACTCTTTACAGAAAGCACCGGGGTGCTGGCACTTGAAGATAAAGAACTGGGAAGAGTGAGTATTATGTGCAGAGAAGAGAAATATGTGAGAAATGATGGGTAGAAGTGTGAATATTGATAAAACATGACATAAAATGGTATAAGGCCTTCAGTAGCAGCCAGCTTTGCTGTGGCTCTACCAAACTGTCCTTTTTTTATATAAGGGTGACTTTTACCAGTGTTCAAAACATGGTAGGTTGACTTCAGTTACCTTTCAGAAACTTACATCAGGCGTCCCCAGTGGCTCTCTTTGTCTCGTTTAAAACATTAATTTCTGCACGATATACCAATGTGTTTAACTATTCAAATTAGGAGTGAAAGAGAGAGAGGTAAGACTTGGTGTGTAATAAATGTAGCAAACAATGGGGAAAGGGAAAGAGGGAAAGGGA